TACTGTTTATAAAGGGGTATGCTGTCTTGATAGGCCCTGTTTAATAAAAATACAGTTTAGAAAGGGGTATGCTGTTTCTTAGGCCCTGGTTTCAATAAAAAATACAGTTTAAATGGGTATTGCTGTTTCTATAGGCCCTTGTTCAATAAAAATATACAGTTTATAAAGGGGTATGCTGTTTCGATAGGCCTTGGTTTAATAAAAATACAGTTTATAAAGGGGTATGCTGTTTCTATAGGCCCTGTTTTAAAAAAAAATATATCTATATATCTATCTATCTATATAATATATATATATATATATATATATATATATATAAAGGGATATGCCGTTCGATTGGCCCTGGTTTAATAAAATACAGTTATAAAGGGGTATGCTGTTTCGATAGGCCCCGTTTAAAAATATATATATATAAAGGGGTATGCTGTTTCTATTGGCCCTGGTTTAATAAAAATACAGTTTATAAAGGGGTATGCTGTTTCGATAGGCCCTGGATCAATAAAAATAAAGTTTATAAAGGGGTATGCTGTTTCTATAGGTTTAAAAAATTTCTACAGTTTATAAAATTTCAATAAAAATACAGTTTATAAAGGGGTATGCTCTTTCTATAGGCCCTGGTTCAATAAAAATACAGTTTATAAAGGGGTGTGCTGTTTCTATAGGCCCTGGTTTAATAAAAATACAGTTTATAAAGGGGTATGCTGTTTCTATAGGCCCTGGTTTAATAAAAAAATACAGTTTATAAAGGGGTATGCTGTTTCTATAGACCCTGGTTCAATAAAAATACAGTTTATAAAGGGGTATGCTGTTTCGATAGGCCCTGGTTAAATAAAAATAGAGTTTATAAAGGGGTATGCTGTTTCTATAGGCCCTGGTTTAATAAAAATACAGTTTATAAAGGGGTATGCTGTTTCTATAGGCCCTGGATCAATAAAAATACAGTTTATAAAGGGGTATGCTGTTTCGATAGGCCCTGGTTTAATAAAAAATAGTTTATAAAGGGGTATTCTGTTTTGATAGGCCCTGGTTTAATAAAAATACAGTTTATAAAGGGGTATACTGTTTCGATAGGCCCTTTAATAAAAATACTGTTTATAAAGGGGTATGCTGTTTCGATAGGCCCTGGTTTAATAAAAATACAGTTTATAAAAGGGGTATGCCGTTCCGATAGGCCTTGGTTTAATAAAAATACAGTTTATAAAGGGGTATGCTGTTTCGATAGGCCTTGGTTTAAAAAAATACAGTTTATAAGGGGTATGCTGTTTCGATAGGCCCTGTTTTAAAAAAAATATAAATATATATATAAAGGGGTATGCTGTTTCGATTGGCCCTGGTTTAATTAAAATACAGTTTATAAAGGGGTATGCTGTTTCGATAGGCCTTGGTTTAATAAAAATACAGTTTATAAAGGGGTATGCTGTTTCGATAGGCCTTGGTTTAATAAAAATACAGTTTATAAAGGGGTATGCTGTTTCGATAGGCCCTTTAATAAAAATACAGTTTATAAAGGGGTATGCTGTTTCGATAGGCCCTGTTTAAAAAATATATATATAAAGGGGTATGCTGTTTCGATTGGCCCTGGTTTAATAAAAATACAGTTTATAAAGGGGTATGCTGTTTCGATAGGCCCTGGTTTAATAAAAACACAGTTTATAAAGAGGTATGCTGTTTCGATAGGCCCTGTTTAAAAAAAATATGCAACCATGACCAGGAACGGGTCAAAGGAGAAACATGCAACTTGATGACCAACCGGTCTAAACCAACGACCAACAGGTCGGAACTAACTTATGAGTTTCTATTGCACCTT